ATACATTTTTACTGTATCTGTCTGATACATTCACTACCAGTATCGTGTTAATACTCACACTATTTATATTGTTACTTTCCCTATTAGTGTCGAATTGATACATTTTTACTGTATCTACCTGATACATTCACTACCAGTATCGTGTTGATACTCACTATATTTATATTGTTACTTTCAATACTAGTGTCATATTACTATTTGGTACTATTTCAAATGATTTACTATATTGTATTACAGATATAGCAATGCTAGTTGTACATTGGTTAAACTATTATTATTATCTCCCTACCACTTCATTAATTGTATCTTCGTATTAGTTTTACTACTAGTATTGTATTTATACGTACAATTCAGGTAATGTGCCAAATACGACCAGTGAGAGCGGGTAAAATTTATACTGACATTGGCTAAAATAATACGTATATGCCCACTTTTGCCTTAATTTACAACAACCTTTCTCACTCAGGAAATGTTATACTCAGAGAATAATTAATCTATACAGTGAGTGGAGTCACGTGATTCCATGGCAATAAATGTATCTTCAGTGTTTAAAGTTACCAAAATATACAGTATTTCAGATGACCATATTTATGATATCTAACATACCTGTAGTCGGTCACTTTCTATGGCAATCAAACGTTTTCACATATGTATCATATCTACCCACCTGATATCTTTACAACGGTGACATCTAGTGTCTCCATTTACTGCAAGTATAGGTGTAGTTCTATGAACCCGTAGTAAGAATCGTAGTGCCTAATTTCAAACATTATCACATTGTTGAAATTAATAAACAAATCTTAAAGAAAAACATTAATTATGTGCAGGAATTGCAGCATATAGCTTTTTTAAAATGTCAACACCCTGATACCCTAAATATTTAAAGTTATTGAGAATTGCACCTCTCTACTTGCCTGATAATTGAGATGTTCGTTGAATACAACGCCCAAATAAGGGTATGGGTGAGCACAATCAATGCTTCTATCGCCTATAACTACAACAACTTTTGTTCTCACTTTCATTGCGAAAAATGATTCACAGTTGCCGTTTTCAGATTGGCAGATATGAACCGTTTCCTAAAACATGCGTACATTACTTCATTGATGTCAGTGACAAGACATTATGGTAAACAAGATCAATTGTAGATAAACTCTCCAAACAATTGACGCAAGTGCGAACATGTGATTTCACAATAACTTCCCTTCGAAACCAGTTTTGTTCATAAACAATTTTACCCCTGGTATCCAGAAAATTAAGTAATCGGTTATTTTATAATAAAACTATAAATTTTGAAAAATGTTGACTGTTAACTATTTGCTTTGTAATTTAATCCATTGCACTGCTCTCGTGAGTATGTAAAATAATCGCTAAACTTTGATTGCTCAATGTTATCAATGCAAACATCCTTTGCCGTTGTTTGCACGTCTCACAAAACCTATTTCATAGCGAATAATATTTACATTTATATTCGATTGAGTTTCATAAATGGGAGGAGCAATATTTTCTTCCAATGCCCTTTTTGATGATTCATTGCATTGTAGCAGTTCATGTCGGGTTCATCGACATCATTTGTTTCATTATTGAACATTCTGTTGAACTTTGGATCAACTTTGGATCGCAGTCGTTCGGTTAATTTTACTATTGTTTTCTAAGTTTATAAGCATGTCATTTAACATTCTAAGGTTGTATGAATGGACTTGTGGTCGCCCTTTAGATCTCAAGTCAAATAGGCTATTATGTACGATGTCTTAAATTTGTCGTTTGGTCTTTTTGAACTTTTCTTTCCCCACTGTTATCGTATATGCTTATGCTTAGTTGTGGTACTGTTTTCATCTCGTCACTTTTACTAATTATATCTTACATTATTACAACTAGTATCTTTCTGATATTGTCCCTACTTTTATATAAATACCTTCACTACTTGTATGTTAGTGACACTATTACTATGCCACTTTTTATTAATTGTATATCTTAGTTAATGTTATTACTACCAGTATGAGTTATTACACTGTCCGTATAGTGATATAATATTATTTTTTTCAATTTTCACGAATTGTATCTTTAAGTTAGTAATAGTATCATTCTTAGTATCTTTCTGATACTATCCCTACTGTGATCTCACTACTCGTATCTTATTGATACTAATACTACTAAGACGAATCTTATGTTTTTACTACCAGTGTCTGCCTGATACTGTCACTACATGTAACGTACTTCCACTTTCACTACTTGTATTTTAGTAACACTATTACTATTATCTTCATGCCACTTTTCACTGCATATTTTCTGGTATTACTATTACTGATATTATCTTAATTATATTTTTACTATTCATAACGTCATGTTACTTCACCTTTTGTATCTTAGCAATACAATTACTATCAGTATCTTCCGCATACTGTTACTCGTTACTGTTATAGTTATATTACTAATTCTTTTTAAGTTAACTTCTAATATCGTTGTGATAAATTTGCTACTAGTATAGTTTTGACATTTTATTACTCGTTTCATTGTGACATTTTACAGGTTTTTGACAATTTAACGTTAAATATCGTCGTAGTACTTTCTAAAATATTATGATGTCAATTTCCCTTCTTGTAATGTTGCTATATATTCAGTTCTAGCGTCATCTTGGTACTTATACTACCAGCATTGTCATAATTCTGTTACTACTAATATTATTGTGGTACATTTTCTTCTAGTATCTTTATGAAACTTTTACTACTATTACGTTAATTATATTTTCACTCCAAGTACCATCATAAATATTTTTACAACTAATGTTGTCAACTTCTGGTATTGTTGTAATACTTGCACTACTATTATCGTCATGTTTATATTACTACTAGTATCGTTGTGATACTGCTGTTACCATAATGACACTTTTACTACTAATATTGTCATGATACTCCCACTTCTAGTATCGCCAGACACTATTTCTACGAGCATTGTAGTAATTTATTCACTACTAGTGTTATTTCTATTACTTGCACCGTAGCAATTATGATTTACTTCTAGTATTGTTATGATACTTTTACTTATATCGATGCAATAATTTTACTAATAGTATCGTCGTGATAAAATATATGCTAGTATCGTTTTGATACTTGAATACGATAATGAAACAATCACATTTGTGATGAATAATACCAATGATAGTGAGATTGATGAAAATATCATTTTGTGTCACGCAGATGGTAATGTCATCAGAGAACATACTATTTACATTTTAATTATTTTGTGAATACATTGCATACTGACATTTAAAATTATGAATCACATTATTGATATAACAGAGATGACGAAAATTAAACAAAACTGTTCACAAGACCACAATCTCAAATTTGGAAGAAATATTAATTGTATCATGTTATAACAATGGCAAAGCTGATATACAAACTGCTTCTACCAATGTTATGGTAATTAGAAGAAACTTTCTGTTTTTATAGATAATCGGAATGATTGGGGAAACATACACTATACAATGAATGATAAATAAATAATTCATTGTGTATCTTGTATTAATAGATGTAATCTACCTGGGCCTGTTCTTATGATTTTTACCTAATTATATCACTTACAATTATGCAATTCATAACTGTATAATAATTTTTACTAATTGACAAAATATATCAAAAACTAAGAATAATATTACAGGAAAACTATTATTGGTATGGTATTATATTGTATAGAAATGTATTTAATTTCATAATTTTTCAATGTATCACTTTCCTTTTCTGGAAATATCTTCAAATTATAAATATATGGTTTTAGAGGTATATTTGAGTTTGAGTAAAAGTATTCTGGATTTTACCCTAAGCAGACATTGAGGCTTGCTTTCCAAACGAGCTCCGTTGCTTAACGTCATCGTTTTCTTATTTTTATGTGACGTTATTGACATTTGCCTAAAAATCACCAAAATTGGTGTACTATTTGACTATTTATCGTGTGTCATAATTTTGTTATAATACCATCATTCATTTTTCAAACAATAACAAGTCGTTATTAATTACATTTAGTTCAACTATGATTATTTGCAGTACTTATGTATGTTATATGATTGTTGTTGTACTAGTCATTTACTCTCTCCACTTGCTAAAATATTCTAGTCATATTGATCAATCAAACCCAGTACAACCATATCTTGATATGCAGTGTACGGGAGAGATACAATTCAAATAATTTAAATATTCATATTTTTCTATTAAGGTCAGAGTGAGCATCCTAACACAGTACAACCATATCGTGGTATGCAGTGTATGGACAGATACACTTCAGTAATTCAAATATTCATATTTCTATATTCATTTCAGAGTGAACATCCTAACCCTGGACAACCATATCGTGGTATGCAGCTGACGGGATGGCTGAATAACAGTGATGAAGGTCGGGAATTGTTAAGATTATTGAAGATTGCTTTTGATCATCGACTCACTTTTACCATCGGTAAAGACAACACTGTCATTGAGAATGGTATTACTCACAAGCAGTATAATCCATTGTGAGTACAAACACCGAGTCACGTGCCAATCACATTCACCTGGTTCACCTTTATTTACATATATTAGATGAATTATATCAGTGTGTTCTAATAAAGACAATCATTGCAATAAAATTGTTATACACTATTAAGCAAGACAGGTACCAAACTATATTGTGGATTTGATGAGAATCACATATTACGCTCTCTACTGGCTATTATTATTAGTCACGTGAGATTAGGGTAAATAAAATAACCAAATTGTTAGGTTATACATGCAATGCAGCTAATTATACGTATTTGTCACTGGTAATATAATACGGAATTATTTTGATATATTATCTTGTCTCAATGTATGACAAGCTTGTCATGTGTTTAATTGCATCACGTGGATCATTACAGTGTGAATATCTAGGTAAATAATGACTGTTTTTAACAACCACTACATATTCCCATATTGCTCATTCAAGTAGTCACATGTCCTAACACATCACATGACTGAAATGTCAGGTTATACATTCATACATACCGTATATAATGAGTACGTATTTATCACTGGTAATCATAGACACAATAATTCAGCATTTCGTTCATACTAATTGTATATTATGTTTATGAGATGCCCCAAACATCCACATTGCATCATATTATTTCTTAAATTAAGTTCTGGTCAATATTGCTAATAAAATGCAATACAATAAACAATTTCGATGTAGTATACATTACGTTAGTGCGTATCAAGATCTTATGTCCAATAATGGCCTGGCCTAAATGTACAAAACTATGACAAAATATATCAATAAGTGCGATTCTGATAAAACCACCTGGCAATTGTTATTGAACTTTTCTGAATAACCATTGTCTGCCTGAAGTGCGAGACTTAATATAGATTTCATACTAGTCAATAAGGTAGTATTTATATATACAAGTTGAACTGATTTGTTAAATAACAACACATATGGTTAATTATTCCAATCATCAATTACCTCGGCCATTACAAAACTAGATGTATGGACAGTATTTAGATCCTTTGGATAATTTCTCCTTTTATAGCACGTAGTTCTGTACAATGATACGTGCTTGGGACGGTGGTTATTTCACAGATTAGTCATTTGCATATGAATGTGTCAGACACAAGGTCACACAGCCACTGAAAAAAATCATTGATTTTGGTATTTTCATCTGCCGATTTTATCGAACTACAGCTATCCCATTCCTTTATTTTTTGGTTTCCAATAGCCGTACACATTTGGATGCCCCTGCACATGTTAAAACAGACCTTGGTGGGAAAACAAATCGATTGTGCCGATAAACAAGCTTGAAAATCTTTGCTGTGACTTCATCAACGTTTCTATGAGTTTATGTTTTTTCAAAATACAAGGTCTTTAACAAAAAAATAACGTATACTTATTGTCGTCAGATTAACACCAAATTTTCACAGCTTTAAGGTCACAATGAGAGGAACTTCAGTGTGTCCAGACAAACAATTTCATTGATTATTTACCAATGTGTTGTGGTTTGAGTTGGGGGCAATGCTACTAAAACAGAAATTAAAATTCAGGACACTACTTTTCAAAACGCGTTGCTTGAATAAAACTGACCAGACACATTCAATTTACCAGACTATTGATCAACTAGGAAAAGTTAAAAAAAACTTCTTATCACCAGCATAAATTTTTACAAAAAAAGTAATACGGGCATGGCTAACACGCCTTTGAAAAGCTTGAAGTCTGGCGATTCCAAAAATATATACTTTCTTCGGTCTATTTGTAGTCATTTGATCACAATTAGAAGATGAAAACAAGTATGCAAATAATAGTTCCGCTATCTTAACTGGATACTAACTTGACAAAACCCATATATCACCCATTACTGTTAATGGCCACACTCAATGCATAGGTGTGAATTGAAGTAAAACTATACAATCACACTCATATGGTTGAACACATATTGATGTGGAGAATTCAATGGAAATTCAAACATTCACTCATACTCATTTTTTTATACAATATAATCAATATTTAAAATTTTGTCATGAATGTTATCTATTACAGTTGGTTAACATCTGGTGGATGGAATGAATACTATAGAAAATTACGCAAACAACTTGCTGTTAAAGGAATCAAATAATCAACAGCCATGAGAAGGCGTTCTTTATCGACCTCCAGAAATTGTGTTAATATATAAATTGAGTTGACCAGATATAATATTTGCGTAATATTAAATACTAATTATTCAGTATCTATAATTTGATGATTTATATGTTTAAGTTTGTAATTTTATGGTACTTTATATTTAATAATTCTTATCATCGGATTACACTGTGAGCGCCATCATTCTCCCACCAAAATGTTCATGTAACATTTTGCATATCTTTTATTCTTCTGGGAAAAAATCCTATTGTCAACAGGTGTTGGGGTTTATTTTGGGATTACTGACAAATATTGACTCTGATGTTTAAACGGTTAAACAGCAATAATACTAATAATTACATTCTGAATTTCAAATACACAATACATTTTTTGATACAAATGATTATTCGGTCCCCGCAACGTCCTGCATATATCAACTTTCAGTTAGGAAGGCATTATATATATTTGGTTGGCCGGAAATTTGTGTGACAGTGTGTGGGGAATATACTTAATATTTAGATTTTTGCCTGACAGTTTCAAAATATGTTCGATTTGAACCATTGACATGCCTCTGTCATTTACGTGGATGTATGAATGACTAATAGAGCAAATACAGTATGTGACTTTATCAAAAATGGATACTGCCACCTTGGGTTGATAAAATGTGAATTATTTTTCTTTCATATTAATGCACAGATGTGACTTGTACATCTGAATAAACGTTTCTGCTCGAGTAATCAGCCCACTTTTGTTCTCTGTACAAGGTGTTGCATAATAGAAGCATGCTTGAGCGAAAATTCTCAAATTAGGCAAATGTACATTACCAATAATTAACAGCTATATGTGTACTCTTGCTCAGATAGAAGTCTTCAGTGATGCATGTGCACTGAATGTACAAGAACCCTAATGTTTCCAACTACATTCATTACCTGTATATTTGTATACAACAATTTACTGATAGACTATAAATTCATGAGGGCCTTATTTTTTATAATCACATTAATTTTCCTGTATGTTTGTATATATCAAACTATTAGTCCACAAGAACCTTAATTTCCAAAACCAAATACATTAGACTATTATTCCACGAGAACTTTAATTTTTATACCCACATTCATCACCTGTATATATGAATACATCATATTATTGTTAGACTATTAATCCGTAAGCCTTCTAATTCAGCACATTCATTGAGTGTTTTCAGTATACATAATAGTGGGATAAAAATAGATTTATTTCTGGTCCTGGTGCCATGCCATGTGAATTTTGCTGTCATTTTTATGCAAATAAAATTCATGAAAACTACCTTTCAAATAAAAATACATGCTGACCAGAACCAAATCAATTATTTTGTCCTTATTATTTAATATATACTTGCCTTCTTTCAATTGCTTTTGCTCTGTAATTTAAAACAATGAATCAAAGTGTAGACTTGCATAGAGTCTCCTGTTTATTTGTTGTTGTTTTCTCAATAAAATAAAATGTGTTGGAGTTACCGCGAATATCGTCTGTATGCAAGTCTAATCAAAATGAAATAATGAAAAGTACGGTAATGAAATGTATGTATTAATACAAGATTTAATGATATTAGTACCAATGTTTCATCATCTGTCCATGCATGACCAAGATTTGGTTCTGCAATGACAGGTATGCTCAATTTTGATACACTTTTGATGCAAACAAATGCATGTGCATGTGTACGATATGATGCATGTGTGTAGTTGCAACATAGTCCAGCAAGTCATATCTGAGATTGACGCACAGACAGTTTCACAGAACTAAAACCACAATTTTATGTTTCTGATTATGTCTAAATAGGGAGCAATAATTTCATTTACCAAGCAAGTTCAACGTCATGCAATCTGACTTAAAAATTATTCATCAATATCCTCCGCAAGTTTGAATGATTATACCAATTAATGAAAATCTAAATGTGAAACCAAGACAGTCTAGAAAATAAAATATACAAAATTAATTAAACTGCTTGAACAATTAGAGATTGTTTTTTACCGGATAATAAAATACAACCTAAATAATGAAAATATTTATTATATTTTCAAAACCTTTTTCATAAATACCTTATTTAGAATCACGAATTTAACAAAAATTGCATTTATTATAATAATAAACTTTATTAAATCATATTCCCATTTGGATCTTGATAAAGTTGTACAAAAAAAGGAAATAGAAAAAAGACAAAACACACACGCTAGAAAAATAAATGTAGACAGTAAAATATGACTAAAACAATACTTCAGGCTGTATCACAGTACATTTCTATCAATCATTTGTTCGAGAATTAGTGACTGTTAATTATACAGCACCATAGCGCACAGACATCAAATCACATGATTTCAGCCAGTTAACGATTGCAAAAACCTTCAGACCAAGGAGGTGAAATAAAAGCAATTATTACAGGCATTAATTAACTTAATAGCATTAGGAAGCAAAATGGCATATCATAGTATGGGAAATGATAGTCGGGTATTTATGCTAGGCCTAGCAAAAGTCCATCTATCACAGATAAACTGTGTTTAAGCACATAATGGAAATAATCACATTCAATAATCCAAACACAATAATCAGATAGTGGTTTATGTACCTGGATTAATTACAATATGTAAATTAACCTAAATACTTACCGCATCCAAACTGTCTATTGTCAGTGGATGCAAACGTTTTGGCAGCATGTGATAATAACTGATGAAAACAAAATAAAAGTTGGTTATTTGGTTCATTGTCATAGACGTTTAAGATAATACAGATAACACATAAATAATCACCTCTTTTATGGTTAGTGGTGTACTTCCCTGTGTTTCTCTGATAAACTAGAAACACACAATTTATAGAATACGGGATACCTTTTACCACTAGTATCACCTCTGGTACAGTAAATTAGACCGACAACTGAGTTTACGGGTATTATTTAAAAAACAACCTGTACATGTATTTGTTTACTTATACACCCTTGACCGAACTGCGAGCAGGAAAAAAATATTTCCGCACTTGCTTTAGCCCCGTATTTTATGTACACCCTGAGGCATGTATCAGCCGGACAACCGATAGTGAAATTAACATAAATACAACTACAACAGAACGTTATCCTAAATACACGCGACTGCCCCCCATCTATGTTGACGTGTACCCTTCAAAACTAACGCAAACCCTCCAGAAATAAATATAACATAAATATTTTATAATAAAAAATGAACATCAGACGAAACACACCTCATTAGACTTTGATTCGCGTAAGATCTGACGGACAAGTGAACTAATCGTCCACATTTTCTTGGATTTTGGGAGGAATGCAATTGTATTTTGTAAATACTGAGACTTGAGTATGCTTTTACAGCGAGGGAATTTAAACAACCTTCAGCTATTTAACTGAAATATTTCGATGATATTTATGATAAATTTACACTACAGGTATTTTAAGTCAAACACTTTTTTACAATTGTGTGTACCGACCTACGCAGTTTTTGGTTACTGGTATGGTTTTGTGTGTGTCGAACCACACGCTTGCGACCATATCTACTGAATTTTGCAGACGGTACTTTCTGACTATGGCCTTTAGTACTTTCGGTGATTAGGGTATAGTAGGTTAATTAGTTTGATTCAACATAACAAAAAAACGAATGTGTGGTTATGGCATCTGTGATTGCTTCACATACCTCTGCTTATAAACTCAGTAAATGACATTGACTTTATATTATATTTCCTTCCACAAGACACTTTGCAATATGCGTCTTTTGCGGTCAGTAATAATTACGGAAATTGTTGTACACTATCTTATAAACTGGCTTGGCAATTCCCATCACCAATTAGACAATGTCACAGAACTTTCTCAACAAATCCAAAATCACTATCAATATTTGTTTTACTTTACATTTGTACTGTGAGTCATTTGAATCTTAATAATTAGCCAGGTAAAGATGAGCTTGTTCAATTTCCTAAATCATGTTTAAACTCTATGGGAATTTAGTACATTGCAACGCTATATTGTTTTAGATCATAACATTCTAATAAGTATTTAGCAAAACGATTTAAACTAAATCTTCTAAGCATTAGTAACGAGACCCATGTTTTACAAAGGATTATATAAGTGCTATTGATTAGCTGACATTACTATTTAATTCCGGCACTACAATCACACAGTGGATTAAAACGTCATAAAATGTCTTAGCCAACAAAGACACATAACTCAGAAAAATATATTAGGGACGATTATTATTATCAGGGGATCACAGATGGAAAAAGTAAAGATTAATTGGTTTGAGACACAATCAGGATTTTCGCATGAAATTTATATAAGAATAATTCTCATCATGTTGAGATTAATCGTGGTACAGAGATAGTAAAAATAGAGGAGTTATTATAGATTATAGATGACGCAGAATACACGCAAAAAAATGGGTAATGTTGCTAAGTCTCAATGAATATGTGATGCAGTCGATTACCCTTCTTGCAACCTTCGTGCTGGGTATTTTTGGAGATAAATATCTGTCAAAATGAGCGCCTTGTTTCAATGATTCTGTGCACAATGGTGAATTATCATCAAAATAATTAATAACAATTAAACAACGCCTACTCCCCTGTGTGGGAAAAACGGTCGTTTAATTGGTGGACTTATTTGGTTCATGTGATTGAATTCATTATGGTAATCAGAAGGAGATGATCTAAAATATTATATGTCTCATTTTGAAAAAAAAATTCTTCTAATGTGGTTAGTGGAATACTTAATAATGGAAGGTTGAGCAAACCCATGATGATGATATGATTTTGTGCGCGTCGTACTTGTATTGTAAAGTTTTTTAAGAAACGCACATTTAAATCAAAATATTTACAGGACTAACCTCGTCACCGAAACAATCACTTTAATCATGTAAACTTATTGCACGATAACATTGTAATATGAAATTTCATTCACTATTCACCAGTAATAGCGACAGTACTTTGATGATGTGCGTCACTGTTTTCGATCTAAATGTTTGTGTTGAC